GATCGGGATCTACCAGATCCCGAGCGATGATTTCACCTACATGTCACGTTTTTACCAGTCTAGTCGTGCGGAACACCGCATATCAGTAAACCACACTTGCGAAAAAGCAAACGACAATTCGACTGAATTTTGATTATGTGACGCAGATCGGTGTTTATTTTAGGTGTGCTACTTCAGGCTCAAAGATCTGGAATAGCTGCGCTGGAAGTATGGGAGCATCATATTGACATTAGTAACATCGGATTTTCGTACTGATTGTTAATGAGATTTAGGTGACCTTTTTAATGCGATGAAGTTGAAGTTGGTTAAATCAGTGTAACCTTCTACTCCATTTGACTTCTCAGTTTTCAGTATTGTCATTTTCACTATTATTTTCATCTTTTGAATTTTTATTATTGCTATTAATATTACAACTAAGCTTTGGCTGCAGGATTTTGCATATACAAAAGATTTTTCATCAGAGCTTTCATTATTTACAAATTAACAATTCTCGGTAGTTAATTCAAAAATAGGGCATGCAGTTAGTTGTGGTACTAATATCGTAATTCCGTATGGCTGGTTTGGTCAAATGTGAAAAGGCTCAAGATGTGGCTTAAAAAATGCATTCTCTCTTCCCGACTTTCAGATGCATTTTTTTAAGAATTGGAAGAACTATTTTCATTGAAAATACTTGTTTTTGTCTCGTAAAGAAACAATTTTTTATCGAAGTTTAGGTCGGGATATTGTCAGTAAGCTTGGTGCAGAGTAAACTAAAATTTTGGTTGCGAGTTTCTGTGAAGCATAGGATTTAGTGCGAGAACAGCCTGGAACTGACAGATTGAATTATTTGTGTAAATGAATTTTCTCTCCTCCCTCACTCAAAAAAGAAAAACGCAAAGGGCAGTTGCATTGGGATTTGCACCTCTTCGCAACGAAGATGTGTTTGGAACTCCAGCAAATGGAAACTCGCTTATTTATACAAAATACAGATTGATAGCCAAATTCTAATTTCACTGAAAAAGTATGGGATGAATAAAGAAGGCGAAGAAATGCAGAAAAAAGTTCTGGAACTTGAGCTTGTCAAGAGGAACAATTATAGGGATTCAAAATTGAAACAGCCAGGTAAATTTCTTTGCCTTGATCCGATCAGAAATTATTGCAGCATTTTATTCATCTTTTATTATCAGTGAGCGAAAAAAAATACGAAAATGCTGAAGTTGCTAAGTTTTTTATGACTTTTTGCTTAAGCAACTGAGCAAGTGCTCATGACAGCTGATATTATTTTTAGAGTAAAATTCAAATAAAACTGTCATATGGAATTTTAAGGTCTCCAAAATACAAAGCTATGCTGAAGCCGTTTTTGTTAAAGATCGCCAATCACTCTATACTGAAACTAATAATGCGGTATTTATTAAGATCAAGAAATCTATTGCACCTAATTTCTAAAGAAATTCGTCTGAAGAAATCACTTAGCATCGTTGCGAACGAATGGGTTCTTTAGCAAAATCTTACCACTCAGACTCTCTCATCAGCAGTGAAATTTAAAAGAATCCAAAGAATAAAATTTTTCCACTTTTTGCTATTAGGCTCAAGGCAAAAATTATTTTTCTTCACCTTCGCAAGAGTGCGAGAATTGGCCAAATTATAACTATCCCCTGGGAAAAGGCAATTTTTCTTTTTCAAGACTGACTGTTTTTTTCGCTCGATATAGGCAAGCCTGAGGAAGCGAAGCTAGGGATCGAAAGGCTAATCAAACATGTTCGTAAGCCAAAATAACAGGCAAAGCCTTCAAAAAGCAATTTTTAATTAATCTTAAAAGTTTATGCTGAAGCTAAGGATGCACAATTCTGAAAATGACAGTAATTTTGTTGAAAGAAAAATTTACTGGCTTCTATTTCCCACTCACAAGTTTTTTTGTATCTTCTATTAAACATATTAAAATAAACAATTTTTTTATCTTTTGTCAACTGACATTTTAGTGCATCCCGGTTTCAATACTAAATGTTATAGAGAGCTAGTGCATTTCAGTTTCACCACTAAATGTCATAAATACATAGTGCATTCCAGTTTCACCATTTAAGCGCAAATTATGCAGGAAACTAGAAGGCTTGGTCTTAATTTTTTAGGGGTCATTAGACGCGAACGATTGGAACAATTAGCTCACCAGTAATGCTTTCGTTTTGGAATGAACAAACTGTTGAAATTGCTTGTGCACTGTTTCTAAAACAGCAGGAACTGAAGCCGAACTTGTCGCCAATTTGCCATCGATGCGAGCACGAATCTCCTAAAAAATTCTCTACTTATTTCTAAATAAATAGCAAAGCGCACCAGGGTAGCCAGTGCGATCATGCATTTTGCGCAGTTTCGTCAAGCGGACGTTTGTTTACTAAAAATATAACTGTTTTACACTCTTATATATGGGAAAAAGATGCATATGTTGTCTGGCTCCTAAGGTGAGGAATTTCTCAATAAAAATTTCACGTTCCGGTACGAGAAAGCTTAATTTGAAAATGTGAATGGAGAACATCCCTCCAAATGTCAACCTTGTAGCGAGCTAGAAACGACTTTCACATCACAATTCTCACGTGGTCTTAGGTAAGACCTCTGCGTACTTGAGAGCTATATTTGAGTTTGTGAGATACTTGCAGCGGTAGAAAATATCGTCCTGGTATTTCAGCTTTCTAGCTTTCATGGTTCCTGAGATAATTTTCCGCCAAAAATTTTACAGGGCTGTACGTGATACCTAAGTGCTCGGGAAAACTGAATTTGAATTTTCTGGGTTGCACGTGGTCAAGAGGCATACCTTTAAAAATTTCAACTCCTTAGCCTCCGCGGTTCCTGAGATGATGATTTTACCCCATAAAAATTTACAAGGCCGTCGTGTTACCCGCAGGCATGGGAAAGTTGAGTTTAAGTTCTCTGGGTCGCACGTGGGCAGAGGACATACCCATAAAATTTCAGTTTCCCAGCTTCCGTGGTTCCCGAGACAATAATTTTACCCGCCAAAAATTTTACGAGGCCGTACAATTTTACGAGGCCGCGAATACCAAGGAGGTTGAATTTGAGTTTTCTGGGTCGTTCGCGATTAGAG